ACCAATAGGCTAGAACCCTATCACAAGGCATCAATGGCGCCTTAAAGTCGCAATATTTGATAACTACTAGCAACGCCAAGGCCATATATAGATAGAATCCTACTAGAGCTAGAAACCTAATAACTTAGATTATTATTCACTTGAAGGAATTTGATTTAGAATTTATTGAGAACCAACACCAACAAATCGTAAGTGCTGGTCTAAGTAGAAGCAACAGAACAGTTTGCAAGCGACCTAACCCAACATTGTTCCGGTAAATAATGTCTCGTTTTGCTAAATGAACAACACTGATTCGAGTCACCAAGACTTGTTTTTGATAAGATCTCAGCCACGTTCGAGTTTATAGGCCAGCGCTCCTTGAAAATTATATTTGAGAATAATGAGTCTAGCACAGCTTCGTGAGTTACCGCAGTCTAGGGTATGTAGCGTCGTAACATGACCCAGGAGCCAGCACAAGTTAAAAGCTTCTCATGCCTTCAACAACAAATGCAAGGCCACCAAGAGCTATAGGTTTCGTTTTTATATGAAATGGCCCTCACGGGGTAGTGCATGACTGCATAGGTTGTCGGCGGAAGAGAGTTCGAGTACAAAGTTAAAAAAAAACATTGAAAGATGCCAGACTCAGGATCTAGACTGTTGGCATATATACAATAATCATAGCCTTAAATGATGGCAAACGAATCATATTAAACTACTAATCTCTTAATAATAGTATGATCACAAGAACGTAGGAGCCCGATCCCAAGCTTTAGGCGATATATCCTTGAGGGATCCTCAACTTCACTTGCCTCCAACTGGCTGTAACGAGATGGCCTCCTGGGTTGTCTGTTCTGGCCTTGTTTGGCCTTCAGGGCCCTGCATTGACTGGACTGCTGCTTGGTTTGCCACCCACACAGCCTTTCCTGCTAATCTCTTCTTGTTTTAGCTGAGAATAATGAACACAAAGCCTCCAATCCAATAAACAGGATCCCAAAAGTTACCACCATTATAATGACGAGGAGCCTGCCTATATCTCCTAGATATGACCTATCATTTCTGCGCTTGTTTCCCAAATATTTATCGTTATTTAGGCTCTTATCAGGGGCCCAAGTGTTGATAGTCGAGGTTGAGCATAAATGGAGTGGCGGCGTGGGACTAAGACTAGTCACATATGTTGGGTCCCAATAGATGTGCCATGCGTTGTGGACCAGCAGCGTACTTACTTCTGAGCTAGTCGTAATTCTCTCGGTGGCTGTGCGACCGATGGTGCGGGTAGAAGTGCTGGCCGAGGTTGTCATATTGTTCGCGATGGCCTTGAAACATGCGAATTCCGGGATGCCATCGATGCTTTGGCGGTAGCCAAAAGACGAGTAAGAGAAGCCTCTGTTTATTGTCATTAAGATCTATACGGCTTCCAAGTTGGGCCAAGTTAGGGCAATGAACACACCTTGAGCAACACTATAGCGTCAACGCGTCGAGTCTATTCGATGGCTTTAAAATATTTCAGGCCCAATTTAGGAGTTGAACCGATTTTATGAATATGAAATACAGAATCAAGGGGCTTCTTCTCCATCATGTTGGTGAAGCCTACCACCGCTAGCCCTGCAACGAATAACCAAATCTCTAGCATTTTCTGGTAAAGAATTGGTTCCTTCTATTGAAGCCGATGGAAGACGAAATAGGAACAGAACCTGGGGATCCATGCGCACCTCTTCCGGCCTGGCCCTCGGTGTAAACTTTACTGAACCAAGTAACACTATGCTTCATCCCCGCAATATGAATTTAAGGCACAAACTCCTAATCGATATTATATAATCGAACTAATCAATGAACTACTGCAGAGATCTAACGAAAGAACAAGTTATGATAGAGCCGGGCCAGTAAATGTTAAGATTAAAAAGTACGTAACCATATTAAACATTGGACCCGCTAGTTACAGCTGAATCTCGTCATGTTCCTCCCCGCCAAGTTGCTCTAGAAAAGCTATAAATTGCATTCCGAGGCCTGCCTCAAGATATGATACAGAGGTTCAGTATCTGGAGTCATGCTGAAGATTGCAAAGCTTTACGCCTTCATGCAAAGACTCTGGCCCAGTCCGGCAAAGTAACGGCAATAATTACCAGGGCAGCAATCACTCTGAACTTTGCAGCCGCCTAGAAGAGTCAGAAAGATCCATGAATCAATATTGATGGCATACATGCCGATATATCTGCACCTTGGCTCGAGGGGAGCGGCAGGAGACGCGGAGGCGAGAGCGAAAAGGCTGGCAATGACAAAGAAGGGCTTCATCTTGGCTTTGGAAAGTTGATTCGAATTTTTGTCGGCAGGTATAGTGGGAGATAGATTTGAGAAAAGAAAGTGAGAGAGTTCTTAGAGTTAGATGAATTTCAGGAAGGGTGTGGGAGAGAGCTGTATTTATACACGAGGGAGAGAGAATATCTTGCCCCTCTTGTATCGCCTAGAAGGCAGCCCCTCAAACTCTTTGTGCCCGATGCAATCATGACAGAATTATGCCGTTAGTGTGCAGCGTGACTGGCAATGGGGTGAGTTGTTCTGTCTCACTTCTTACATGACCGCAGCTGCAGCCAGGTCTTGGCAATAAGATGTTCCGCCGAGCAAGGCAACAGCTCACCCAGTTTGGGACTGGAGAATGCGAACAGTGGCTGCTGAAAAAGCCTATGGGTTTGGGTTTATCGTCAAAAGGCCCTGCCGAGAAGAAGCGAATAAAGGCGCTTGATACATGATAACCACAATATTCTATTCCTATTGCCAGGCTACTAATCAGAACATACCTCAAGTGTGATCCAGAGCGCAGTGCGCGTATTGTTTCCAACGGCAATGCATGTGGATGCATTCCAGTTCCCGGTCTCGGGCATAGAGTGCAACCAAGGATCTGTCAGCTGAAGCCCAGTATGAACCTGATAGAACCGACAACCCAGACAATGGCGTTTAGGTGCGCCTCTGCATGTTGAGTTCGCCCGAATGAGCTGGAGCTGAAATCTTGGCGAGCCCGTATCTACCTAATTTAGGAAGGATGTCTACAGCTGCCCGAGGCATATTCGTCGGATGCCGGCACAGAAGCGGGTAGTCCCTTGCCAACAGAGCAAAGGCTAAATACCTAGCTGAGACAGTTGACATTTCAAGCAATCTATTGGTCTACTCGCTCCGCAATCGGGGTAACTGTCCCGGTGAACCCTGGCAAGCGTATTTGTGGCTGTGTGGAACCATTAATTCTGGGGTAGTCTTGTACGTACTTTATACGGAAGAGAGGTGTGATCAGGCCATGGAATACCTCAGCACCTGAATGAAAATCGGCCTGTTCCGAAGCGGGGTAATATTGGCAGTAAAGTCTTTAGCTGTGTTCCTCCATGTATCATGTACTCGCAGTACAGATTGACCTCGGAGTATCTCCAAAGTTGAGTCTGGCATATCCCCCGAAAAGTTCAGTATGAACAGCTCCCCGTCTTGTAGTATCTCTAGGTAGAAAGTTATATGCGGGGTGCTCGCCAAAACAATGGCGATGGAGGCAATATGTTTCATCATCATCTGAAGTCCGTTGAAAACTTTGGCAAGGGTACATCTTTTGGGATTAGTCCTGGTGTCTCATCTGATTAGCTGGGACATCGAGTGCTTACACATTGGACGGGCTGGTATATACACTAAGCACCAACCCGTCGCAAGGGTTGGTATATAAAGTGCTATTATCCCATGAGAGTGCTGGTACAGACCCCTAGCTTTACGGTTTCATTACTGGCAAAATGCGGCTTGAGGAGGAGCAGGAAGGCCCGAGTTGGTGTCCAACCTCCTTTATTACACTATGTTGCCAATCTCCCGAAAGCGAAGGGAAGCAGGAGAAATGTACTATTATAACACTGGCAGTAATGCGACGAACTACTCGAGCCAGAGGCGGCCTTGACAGCATCCGTACCTTATGAACGTGTGAGGTTCGATGGATGGAGGATCCTCTATTTACGCCAACTCGGCCTTGGCTTGGCATATTTTCAAAATTGCCTGTTCTGGCAATTTTGAAAATGAAAAGGGAGGAGTAGTAAGGTGATGAGCGGCTGCTATAATAAGTCCATGTGGTGGGGTTCCAGTGTAATTACAGGCTTGGTGACATACCGTGTCGGTGACATGCCCGCCCCCCTTCAGTATGAAAAAATGCCCTGTACGACCACATCTTGCACTGTTACCTGTTTCTGTAGCTCGGAGTTATGGCCCACGGCGTGGGTTCTCATATTAAGCGGGCAAAGAGTGCACACCAGAGATCAAATGTTCTTATTCCCAGAATATTAGCCATTGTCCTGACTACATATTTACTGCTCAAAGTAGAAGAAGGGAGTCCGAATCACGTTATACTATGTAGCTTGTGTACCCGGTAGTTACCATTACAGAGTGCCGTACTCCGATATCTGTTATAAGTAGGGGCTAAATTCTTTTTAAATCGGGGCCCCCAGAGCTTCCCGTTGCAGTGAGGTTGTATGAAGAGTACTATAATCCAAGTGTTACTATAGCTGATGTCAGATTAGATATAGACTAGCGTCTCTATTAGCTGTAACTTGTAAGATTATAGTAAAAAGGTGCCTTTTAGGTAACATCTACCGTAAATGTACAAGAAGGGCAGGTGCATGGCAGATGAGTGCCTACCAGGATGTGGGAGCTGATCCTTTAGAACCTATTCCTAACAAGAACTTTCAAATACCTAGACGGTATATTTTCTTGTCCGGGAAACTTAACCCTTGGAAGTGATCTTATGGTACAGCATAGCATAGCATAGCTTATTGGCTTATACTTATAGCATGTTTCAGCTTGCTGCTATTTGTAAAGAGCTCCCAGAATCCTCTGGTTAATCAGAGGCCTCCGGGTTCGATAGTGAGCTTATGAAGCCTTCTACTGCTCAATTATTAGTTCATTCTACATATAAAAGACCCCTTCCTGGTTTTCTCGCTATTTCTTTAATCAATCACCTTTCTTTTGGGTTACAAGTTAATCTCACAACCTTCCTTTCCTTGATTTTGAATATGGTTATACTCAAGCATTCAAGTGTGACCGCTATCCTCTGGCTTGGCCTTGCCGGCCGTGGACTTTCACAATCCCTTTATAAGCCTGAAAATCTTGCTATTCGAGGCGAGAATGTTGAGGAAATTGTCGCCCGAGACATCGATCCTAGTCTTGAGGAAAGAGATGAGGATGATTGGCTTGAGACTCGCGATAGTGAGGACGAGCTCGTTGAAGTTCGCGATTTCGAGGATGACCTTGCGGTCCGAGATTTCGAGGAGGCGCTCCTAGAAGCTCGGGGTCTACATGTTCGTCAGCCGCGTCCTGCTCCACAGGCTGGTCTTCGCCCTCGACCGCGACCTCGCCCTGCTCCAGCCCCTCAGCCTCAACCCCCAGCTGCTGGAAGACGACGTCGTTCTGTTGAATACCTTGAGGCCCGTGATCTCTATGCTCGTCAGCCACAAGCTGGTCTTCGACCTCGCCCTCGCCCTCGCCCTGCTCCCGCCCCTCAGCCTCAACCCCCCTCTGCTGCAAGGCGCCCCCATTAATGGGGTTAAGGCAAGGATGACTCGGCAAAGTTGCGGCAGCGAGTTCGCTTTAAGTCAATCAGAAACCACGGTCTCTTGGAAACGTAATCGGCTTGACCTGTAATAGTGGAAAGATGCCAATGGGTATGATTGTTGCGCGATCAAGTTGAAGGGGGAATATAGTTGTTGGATTAGAAAATTTCAAGTCCCGAAATATACAGCGGTTTTTAGAAGCTTTGCCTCTTCGAGAACGTGAGGGTTGTAAATAGGGTGAGATGCAAAGCCAGTTATTAGCACATAGCGATGATAGTATATGTGCCTTAATGAGACTATAGCTCGTCTCCTTCTATGGCTTGATAAATAACGGAAACGCGATAGTGATCCCGGACCTCTCTATGAGAAATAATGATTCGGTTCCTGGTGTAACACTTCGCATCCAAGGCGCGTTAGATCCAAGAGCTAATTTTTCTCTATATATCTCTTTCTCTTAATGAATAGTACCTCATATTAATTTCAGTGCGCTTTAGTTTACATTATCGCAATTCCGTTGTGACCGCGATCTTAATATCTAGCTGATGAAGGCTGAAGTGAACTCTTGGTGGTGAAGCTGTTTGTTTTCGCGCTGACTTGATAACTCATGAATAACTGCGGCGATGAAACAGAAGGCTAATACTACTAGATAATCGGTAAGATGCTTCAGTAAACTAGAGGAAAATATCATAAGCTAGAACATGGCATTTATCAAGAATAGCTCTTGTACTAGAGAATAAATAGTCCCAGGCTACTAAAATAGTCCTTTATCTAACTCGCATATCGATTCTCGTACTTACATATCCATTATCTCTCTAATACAAACCCTGTAGCCAAGATGGCTACAGGTCAAAAAGGGGCGTATCGATTGATGAGGCGCGTATCCTCCTAACTATGTCATGGAGACAGACTACATAGTAGAGGCTATCAAACATGAGGTACTTTAGAGGCTAGATATTGTCGTCTTCGAATGAGAAAAGAACCTAGTCTTCAGGGCTCTCAGAATTGTTCCTCGTATTCACTTTTCCGTCCTTAGCCGATGAAATCAGTTGTGTGCTGCCTAGATGAATTTCCGAACACCGCTTATTTGATGCACCCAATCGAATTGTAAATATCACCATTAGTGGAGCGCTTTATTCTATCATTCTATCATGCTCTCTGTCGTGCAGTGTGTTCCAGATTGTTACGCTGTTGCTCCGTTGACTTCTGATTTGTTCAACGACTTGATTAGACCGTACTTTGATGGCATGAGGAGTTCGGTGCAACCTGTATAGATTGTCAACCAAACAACTTTGCCTTCAACTTCAGTTAAGAATCTAGGCCACTTTAAGTTTTTAGCTGATGCCAAATATTCCACGTTTCATGCAAATTGTGATTAGTGCAAGAGCTTTATCCAACCCTCACAGCAAGCGAGAAGTCAGCACTAGACCTAGCTCGTCATAGCATAACGAGGACTGATGATAAATGGAGCAGCCGGAATGCATTTGCCGTCAGATTACGGCATCGTCAGTTCGCTGATTTTCATTCCCTTCCCCGTTGACGCAACCTGTGCAATCACACCCCAAAATATGGATTCTGCGTTGAGAGCCCCAGCAACGGTTTTGTTGGCGGCAGGACTGTATACCAATTTCTTTGCATGTGTCGTCGTCTACACCCGAAGAGATGCCACAGTAATCCGTCTCTGTGCTGCAATCACTCTTGCTTTCTTGACGGAATTTCTCCATGACTCGGGAAATCACATGCTCAGCCCGATGCAGCAGAGAGTGTTTGGGCCAATGCTATGGCACAACTATCTCAGTCTTGTCGAGCTGCTCCTTTTCTCCCGCGCCGATAGATCGGAGCTCGGCGACCCTTCGAACCCTCCACCTAGGCCAGTGGCTGGTGCCTGGCTGAAGGCTCTGGCTCTGATCTTCAACCCCCGCCGTGTTGGTACCAAATGGGAGGTCAAGGGTATACCTAAGCGCTCAAAGCCGCAGGGCGGCCTCAGCTTTGCTTTCCGTAGCGTGCTGAAAGCTCTTCTTGCTTCAACCATCATCGACGTTATGCTTAGACTGCCACCAAAGCCTGAGCCGCATCTTCTAGAACCCGGGAAAGAAACTCTGTATGCTTTCTGGACTCTATCCGCCGAGGACGTTATGTTCAGATTCATGGTTACTCTCATATTCACCATAATAACATGCTTAACTGTCATCTGCATGTATTACTTCGCGGCTGCATTAACTGTGGCAATCGGTCTCAACGAGCCAGAGTCTTGGCCGCCTATCTTCGGCTCTCTCAGAAATGCCTACACGATTCGCGGGTTGTGGGGGTGAGTTCCTTCCTTTTATATACTACATTTCAATGATGGTTGCAAGATTGACATATTAATTTGAACAAACAGCCGGACTTGGCACCAGGTGCTACGAAGAGTGGTTGTTGCGTTTGGAGACTTTACATCAGACAATATTCTGTGTATTCCTCGCGGCTCCCTTCTTTCTCGCCTCTCACGCCTCTTTTTCCCTTTCTTCATGAGCGGAACGCTCCATTATATCATGGAACTCAAGGACGATGGTCTGGCCCAGGGACGTTTCGGTGTATTGATTTTCTTTCTACTGCAGCCGCTAGGTATCTTGCTTGAGGAAGTTGTTCAGTACACATGCTCTGGACTATTCTCGAGGACTATTCAGCGAACGATGGGGTACGTCTGGGTTGGGGCTTGGTTCTGGTGGTCAATGGCAGGGTTCTGTTTTGAGCAGTCAAGAACTGACCCACCTCCTGATCTCGCTCCTATCCCAGTTGTTTATCTGGCCAAGCGTTATTTCTGATTCCTCAACCAGTCCTCGATAATTCAGACCTTCTTTAGCGGTATTTCTCCTTGATTGTCGTGTGACCTACTTACATAAAAAGCGAGAACAAAACGGTCTTTTCCGTGGAATATGCGACCATAATCGATAAATGAAGTTTTTTCATCGATTGAGATAGCAAAGAATATCCAATATATGGTCGACCAGTCGACTGAAGTATCAGCTCAAGACAAATAGACTGCTTGCCCGTCCATCAAGTTTCGAAGGGCTACATGCAGTTCATATTTTATAGCAACTCATTCATGTATGACAAAAAATATATCTACCAAATCTCTTATACGACCAACCGCGAAGAAAAGATCCTAGTACACTAGCCATCGATTTGCTCGCGACCAGTCACTTTCTAAACTAAAGCAATCCACCGTATATTGGTCTCACTCTTCTCTGGCAACTCATATTTGAACCAGTGATTATAGTCCGAAATCCCCCCCTCGTTTGGCAAACCCATTTGTCCATCCATACATCCATGAAGATAGCATTCACCCACCAGGCTGAATGCCAAGGGTGTAGCACGACGTCCGTCATCTTTTTGGTGAGGGATTCTGCGGAGAACAAAGGGCATTTTCCCACCAGGAAGGACGTATATCTCGTCCGACTCTCGCATCGATATTGGTCCCATACCAATTCTGCCGTCTTTCGTAAAGAAAAATACCCGTTTGGTGATGGAGAGCCGCATTGTAGCCGAATATGATTCTGCAACCAGGGGGTCAGGCAAATCTTCGTCAACGAGAGACGGGGTATGTGAAGGATGATGAATTTGTTTGGCCGGGTCTCCTCTCCAAACGACGCGCCACAACCAAGAGACCAAATGAGTCTTGTCTTGTATTTCCAGCCTCTGAATGCCTTTTTCGGTTATTTTGGCACTGGATAGCAGAGTTTCTGCAAATACAGTAGAGAAATGTAACGGGTTATAGTCTCCCGACGAATCTGACGGGTTATAGTCTCTGCCGACAGAGAACTTGAACCAGTCTACAAACCAGCATTTCGTTTCATTTAGCACTGCCTCTGTGTCGTTGCAAGAGTATAATGACTCGAAGACTTTGGATACAGTACCAACGAATCGCCCTGTCGCTGTCAAAGCCCCATCTTCGCAATCGTTCCGAGTGCTACCCCAAACGGTCAGCAGGCTGTGGTTGATAAACCGCGTGGGGTGTCTCTGTCCATCTGGATGACAGAACGAGCTCAGCTTGTTGAATAGGGACTGCAACCTGCGATCGCATCCACCTACACATTTGAAGCTACGCTCATAAAGCTCCAGCGACGATTTGGCATCTATCGGTAAATACGCTTCAGGTCGATTCTCGTTTTCCAGAGACTCAATTAATCGGAGCATGCCCTCTTCAGCCTGCGAGGTGGCTGTGTCGAGATCCCAACCTTGCCAATTTCTTCTGCCCCGAAAGAATGGACCGCGATCATGAATACCACAACAACGTGGTCTCCGTAAATCATTAACCACCCATATAGTACTGTCAACCCCTCCAGAGGCGTCGTACAGCTCCGTAAGAGCCAGTCGTCCACGGTCAGATTCGTCAAAGGTAGCCTTCCAATCGGGCACCCAAGAAGGTATGTCTTGCCCGTTTTTGCGGCCAATATCCCCATTCAATGGGGAGAGTGACTTTTTTTGCTGGATCATCTGTATGGTATATTTCGCATAGACCATTACTTCATCCCACGAATAGTCGGGGCTCAGAGTCTGCGTTTGGTCACAAAGCCCCAGAAGTGCAAAGATTTTATCCCGACTATCAGAAGAATGGCGGTTACTGAATTGTCTGAGCAGTGCAAGGAGATCTAAATTCCCGGACTGGCCACGCCAAGTCTGCCGAAAGTAGTCCAGGTCTCTCACTCGTGTGAGAAGTCGCAAGACTTTTGCGTCATCTGACGAGAACGAATCAGGACAATTCCAAATAACCCCTTGGTGGTAGAGATTCGCTACGGTGGCGAGCATCATCCAGGGCATGCAAGCATTGCCATATCTCACGACCAAATGATCAGCCACGACGGCTTCTTGGACAACCCAGATTCGATCCCACCAACGAGCTGTGAGCATTGTCCGGACCGCCTCAAGAATGGCAGCCAAATAGTGGACTGGGATTTCTTTCAAGAACTCGAGGCAGTTCATCTGTCTTGAGAAGATAGCAATGAGGCAGAATATCTCAGGTGCCGAGATCCGTTTCGTTGTGAGCGATGACGCCCACTTTCGCATGTATTGTTTTATGAGGTCCTCATCTAAATCGTCTCCCGTAAACTGGACACAGGGTCCAGGGTCTCGTCTAAGCGATTTGCCTGTTATATGGCTTGAACCATCCCCAAGGAATATGATTACTTGGTTCGCTGCCTTGTATATATCGCGCATTTTAGCGACCTGAGAAGAGCGCTCTCTATCATTCTGCTGGTTAATACACTATCGGTAGTCAGCATATAGCTTGGAGGCATTGGCAGAATGGGCATTCTCACAAGTGCGTCTATCCAGAGAACTATAGGCTCTTTGTTGTCCCGGAGGAACCTCAAGGCTACACCGAGGTTCGCAGTCACGGCGAACTCACAGTCGTTCACTTGAATATGGGACGCTTGCTGGCCCGGTGCGCCCCATGCATATGACAAGGCCTGATAAGGGGGTCTTTTGGTCCCGCTTCTATCAGAAACGCGGAAGAGCTCGCATTGAACATCGTCGTTCCATTTGCCTGGTAGCAAAGCTACTAAGCGAATCTCGTTGAACAACAGGTCAGTTGGATAGGGCTTTCGCGTCCGTGTAAAATAGTTGCGACGTAGCTCCTCCATGGCGACAATCGGATTGAGGGAAAGGGGCCAGCCGATAGGCATACGGAATGGCCAGACGGATGAAAAGGGTGGATGTTTTCGTATTAATACAAAAGGTCTGCGCTCTGTGTCACCAGACACATGTCAGCCAATTAATGGCCCCCGTCGGTAAAATGTTGACCTCACCTGCATGCACAGCCATCATAAGAGAGCCTGGAGTCTGCCTCATAGTCAAGGAATATCATTACTCGGAGTACTACATCACAGTGAGTCAAAGTGTCAAAGTTCGCTTACTGACCGCAATCCTATCACACTCAGATAAATTAGTTTGTGGAGGAACTGCTCAGCTCAACTTAAATCAGGTGCGCGAGAAGGTCAAAACTAACCAATGATCGTCGCCAAAGCTCAAGGTGGTGTGGGTCGCGAAGCCTTCACTGCCTTAACCATTTATATCAAGGAAATATTTGTAGTCAATTTAGCCAGTTTCCTCTTCAAGTGACGCAGTGACCAATATATCTTCGAAGAGGACGGATGTTGTTTTCTTGACAAATATTGTCTCCTAGTATACAACATCATTGTTCCCAGCTATCCAAAGGATTCAGTGGTATAAATGCAGCTATTCTTCATCAATCTAGTAGTTAGCCAGACAACGGATATATCATTTTCTAAAAGTTGTTCCTGTGGGTGGCCAAGTTTTGATACTGAAATTGTCCTGCGTCACATTACTTCCATGCCACTGTAGCACCCTTCTCGTGCGATTCCCTTGCCAGTTCAAGAATTCGTAGGCAATCTCGCACGTCGGGTAGCTTAACCACCAACTCCTCCTTGCCCAATATGGCTCGAGCAAGATTTTGATACACGCCCGAGAAGTTCCCTCTAATCGTGGGGACTTGGCCGGTGTACTTATTGATCTCCGGCTCAAACTTTTGGATGGAACTGTCAAACTCGTCGTAGGTCGTAAGAGTGCCCCAATATTTTCCAGCCTCCTTTGCATAGTCGGGGTCTGCCGGCCCCTTGCCAACAAGCAAGTCCTCCTCTTGTGGACAGAAACTGCGTTTTTGAAACTTGATGTAGGATCCTTTAGTTCCTCGAACCCAATATTTGAGTTGCTGAGCCATCGGGGTAACGACTGCAGTCTTGACCGTAACTAGTCTGCCCTTCAGGAGATCATCTCCATACTGCAAGATGATTGTGAATGTGTCCTCGACCTCGCTTGTGGCGTCACGGTAAACGCGATAGAATCCAGTCACTGAACTGGGACGGCCGAATAGTGTATATGCATGATAAACGCTATGAGTTCCTTGAGGTGGCAATTTGTGTCAGAACCTTTCTTGGTCAGAGTTCACGGATCTAGGGTTGAGGAGACTACGTACCGAGGCCGAAGGCCAGCCCATCCCCTGGTGTATACTTCTCAGGAAGATGCTTGATAAACTCTGGGGATTCAAAATCATAGTGAATCTCTGCCTCCTTGATGTCGCCAAAAGCGTTCTTGCTCTTTAGGTCGAGCAAGGTTTGAAAATCTCCATCCTATATTCACGTATTAGACAAAGCAATTTTGCTGAGGAAGAAGCTCAGTGTGTTTACTCACCCATCTCCGGTTTTGGTAGCAAGTGGCAATTTTCCCTGACTTTTCAGCGGCTTTAATCACTTCGTCCGCCTCCTCAGCTGATGTTGCAAAAGGCTTATCAGAAATAACTATAGCAAGTTGGGTCAGCATAGAGCGATCATCATAAGTGTCAATCGAAACCTACCGTGTTTCCCTGCCTCCACAGCCTGCTTGGCAAAGGAAGCATGTGTGTCTGTGTGCGTAGCAACAACTACAAGATCAATGTTCTTGTCGGCAAAGAATTCCTCGGCAGTGCGGTAGTGTTTGATATTAGGGTAGTCAACAGTGCAGTGAGAGCCTTTAGGGCTTGATGATGGGTCAGCGGGTGCCTCGGACCTCTGCAGGAAGGCGTAAACCTCGAGTTCGGAGACGGTCTTGATGAAAGGGAGATGGAATGTTTTGGCCGAGTTGCCGTATCCAATAATCCCAACTTTGATGGAACTCATGATTGCTGCCAACAGGAATGATTTGTTTACCAGAGTTGTCAGGGGGCGTAGACAACTGACACGTTTTGATATGTTATCACACGCAGAATAAGAAGGGTATGAAAACAAGCCAGTTCGCGAATGGTCAATTCTGGCCAGTATATATAGCGACTGAACCTTTTTAACGTGTGCCAGCTTAGAAATGCACACTCATCACATCATCTCGACTTATATGGGGAGCTCCAAACCCCGCATCATGAATTCATGGTGGTGTGCCAAGAAGTCCGAGACTCCGCGAGTCCAATCAGAGCCTGCCAGATTAGCGCTGGGTGAGTCTTCCCCGGCACGATGACGATACTAAACGTTCGACTGATACGGGCCAGTGCTACCTTACAGAGAGCAAAGACCTTGTTCCGGCATTTTTATCCGATTGACCACAGTGTTTGTTTCCTCCGACTGGAGCCTCGCACAAACAATGGAGTTCAAGGTTGAGAGCTCTGTAGATACAGGTTATAGTTGCAACATGTCACTATTCCAATCGACTCAAAATATTCAGTGGTCAATAAGTTCCTATTCTGCAGTTTAACCAAGCCTCTAGTGAGAATTACATTTCCAATTCGGCCAGAAGAATGTGAAGGATACCTCGGAGCCGCAGTGGTGAGAAGTACAACTCGTATCACTTTTGACCCCAAGATACAGGATTACCTCCAAGAATTTACTCCCAATGCGTATTGATAACGTCCACAATGACCCCATGATCATCCTCCTGGCTCATCCCAGATACACCGACAACGGCCACAATGCCCTCGACACCCGCCACTCGGATGGGCACCGCGCCTCCATGGATGGCGTACTGTGAGGCTTGTTCAGGGCTCAGGCTAAAGAGCTGACGGAACTTTTCCTCGTCTCCTTTCCAAAAACAATTGGCCCACCAACTGCTCCGGTTCCAGCGTTGGACGACGTTGCGCTTCCGCCTGATCCAGTTCTCGTTATCAATGATGGTCGACCCAACACAAGCCTGGAACAAGGTCTGGCCACTGCTGGCAAGTGTGATTGAGATCAAAGAAGGCTGCTTCTTTGCGTTTGGGATTAAGCGGGCGTACAGCAGATGGCCGAGCTCCCATGCATCATCCACGGTGAAGGACTCAAAAGTGAATGAGTTGCAGGTTTGCATAACAACGTCGGGCTATACTTTTCCAGTAAGCACAAGGCTTTATCAACTGATTAAGAAAAGCATGTGGAAGACGCGAGTTTGCTTACATCCGTGGGCGGCTGCGGAATGGGAATCATTTCTTCTCCTCCTTTTGCTTGAACCGCCTGGACTTGCTCCAGCCCATATCCCGGGCCCCAGCCCCGACGTCGAAGTACTTTGGCTGTTGCGTTTGACATTTTGTGCTGAAGTATGAAGACTGCTCTATCTCTAGGAGAGTTTAACAAATACCGATACCAGTGATTCAAATAGTAGAGTCAGGGAGAAAAGGGATTCCTGTTAGCTCGTCTTTTCGTTCCGGATGTCTTTACTTCATATACGTGTGTGGCCTTTGGCTGTCGACACTGAGATAGATGGTTTGCCTTAGTTCTGGAGCATCTCGTGGACTAGGACAAAACAAGAAACCCCGACACTCCCCGGCCATATCTTCATTCCCCATCTTCATTCCCCACGCTGAGGATCCACCCTGCCTGCTCAAAACCGCTCACGGTCTTTGTCCTATACTCCCCGGCCTTGTGCAGTTGCCATATTCCTCCCTGCTTCTGATCACTCGCGAATCGCACGGGCGCTATGGACTCGACGTCTCCAGTCGGAGGTGCTTCAGGCACTGGTGGAGCTGCCAGAAGGCTCCAGTTTCGCCGGATGACCCATCATCGCAAGCGAGCTGTGACCGCATGCGAGCCATGTAGGGCGCGCAAGGCCAAGTGCACAAATGAAAGACCTGTGTGCCAGCCGTGTGTCAAGTTGGGAACTCAGTGCTCCTATGAGCAACGAGCAAACCATTCCTCGTATGTGAAGACTTTGATCAGGAGTCATGCTCTTTGTCCACCCACTAACTCTAAAGCCAGATTTGATCCTGCAAGCCTGTTGATTATTGAAAAGTTGAACCAGGTTTTGAGCAGGCTAGATAACAACGAAGATGAGCCACCGATTGCTTCAGCTAGTGCCACGTGCGAACCTCAACAAGATAAAGAGGCACAGCCCGGTATCGAGGAGAAGATATATTTCTGCTCTTCGTTTACCTCTACGGAGTGTGTCATGAGCTGGCCTATATTCGAAGGCGAGCTGGATCAAGTCAATCTTAACGAAGAGACCTTCTTAACAGACTATGAAAGAACGAGGGCCTTTGATAAAGAATATTCAGAGGGGACTCGCTCTCACCGGGCAAGCATATGCGAAGATGACATTCCCAAATATATTGATAGGTTCCTACGTTTTGTACATTGCAAGAATCCAATATTGCACACGGGTACCTTGAAACAATATGCGACCAGCGTAGTAGAAAACGGGCCGGGGTGGGATGCTGTTTCTTGTCTTGTGGTGAGTTTCATTGTCTGTTTGTTGGGTACTTCGGAGAAGTCGATCTACTCTACTAATTCCTATAGCTTATTGCTTGTGCTCTAGGGGCTATTGCTACTCCGTTTGATAACGCTGGTGCCGAGTCCTTTAGTCCACCCAACGACATCTCTTCTTTGTCCAACAATACTGGTGCCAGGATTATTGCCGAGAATTTCTATCAACTTGCTTGTCGCAGGCTCGGTCTGCTGAATCGGAGCATCGTAGCCTGTCAGTGCCAACTTCTCTGTGGAATCTACCAAATGTACACAATGCGCCCCCTCGATGGGTGGAACAGCTTTTCTCGCGCATCTACCATCTGTGCTCTGTACTTGAAGGGCGGTGATTTCTTTCGCCAACGGGCTGGGCATGCGGACGAAGATGATGAAGCTTTCACAAGTCAGTGTCAATCTCATCAACGTTTATACTGGACTTGTATTAAGTC